CAAAGCTTACCAGGAGCTGCTGGGAACGTGTACACTGCATTCTGGAAATATCTGTGCCTCCTGGACTTGAACCTCAACCAAGAATTCTTGCTATCTACAGCAGACGAAATCTATCCTGTTCCCAACTGCTCAAGGCCACTCTGCCCAAGATGATTACAGGAGAAGAAGGCAGCGGCCTTGGATAAGTGTGGCACACAGAACGCAGCTCCTGTATTCCTGGCAGCTACGGCTGGGTATGAGGGAAGCTCCGAGTCAAGGCTGTCCAGTGGGAGGGCCATCAACTGTGGTAGCTGCTTCCAACCAGGACGGCATTACCCATCACAGGTTTCCACTGGTGCAGTCCTTGACCTGCATGCAGGATGATATTGCCACAGTCCCCTTTCATGCTTCCACAGCTTTGTGAAGCTAGGATATGAAGATACATACTCAGAAAGGGAATGAGTTCTGCATCACTTTTACAAGGTGTCAAAATCCTGCAGAAGTTTGGGGACTCCACATGGCTTACTTAAGATCACAGGGCTAGCTAGGACATGGCATGCAGGGGAAAACCTATTTTCCAGTTAATAGGGGTGTTCGGCTCCTGTAGCTTATTTCCTCCCCATAGCATAAGGTCAACACCCACTAGGAAAGACAACTGAAATCAAATCAGTAACATTCTCTCAGGAGAAAAGACAGATCGTGGAGAGGCTCTGGAGATAAGCAGCCTCACGGCTTTCCAACTCTAAGTAAAGGGTCCCGTCTCCTCAATATGGACATCTCCCTCCTCATTGTGGGATATTTCTGATGCTTTCACACTTTATAATTGTCAAAAAACAAGAGACAAACATCTTTCCTTTCTGGAATAATACAGTAACCTCATGGCTGAGCTTCACCTGGTTAATAGGTTGTACTTCTCCCTCCTAGAAAATGCTGGATCAACACCATCAGCAGACAGAAAGAAGCAAAGCCCAGAAGCATATTTAGAGAGACACAGAGTTTCTGGGTGGTTAACAAAGTCTCTCAGAATGCCTGATTCAAAGTTTAAGGAAGGAATCCCTGCAGATGTAGCTAGGGGTAGTATTCATTTCCTAACGTGCAGTCCTGAGTTCAATCCCCAGAACCACAAATTAAAAAACTAATCTATGAGGGAGGAAATGGATGTGAGTGTTAATGTCACAGAGCCTACATTAATGTTTACACAGAATAAAGGGACTCATGAGACTTGGAAACCGTGTGTGTGCGTGTGTGTGTGTGTGTGTGTGTGTGTGTGTGTGTGTGTGTGTGTGTGTGTGTCTGTGTCTGTGTCTGTGTCTGTGTGTCTGTCATGTCTGTCTGGGTATGGAAACCAGCGCCTCGTGCACACCTGGCAAGCACTCTACCACTGAGCTACACTTCCAATCCTATTTCTTAGTTCTTTTCTTTAGAAAACCTGTCTTGATAACTAGTGAAGAAAATGAACAATAAAGTCATCTATTAGAGAGAGAAAAGGTCTTTTTATTCATACTTTCTGTACTTACATATGACATGAACAGCCATAACAAAAGATCCTTCTAAAGTATTGGATGAGTACCCCTTATTAGAAATCTTGGTATTAGAAGGGGTTTTTTTGTATGTTTGTTTTTACAATTTTTAAAGAAATATTTACATAGATCTAATGAGCTCTCTTAGGGATGGCACTGAAGTCTAAACATCACATTTGTCTATTCTTCACCTCTGCCTTCTACCACAGCCTCAACATGATTTAACACACAGGGGGCTGGGGGTGGGACAGACTTTTCCACATGTGTTATCATGCGTGTGCTCAAAATGCTTTGGATTCTTGAGCATTTGGGGTGCTTGAATTTTACATTTGGAATGCCTGTGGTCTGCACCTATGATGCAGTGTGAGTCCTGCGCTGGATGGTTAGCCTCCAGCGTGGCCATGTTAAGAGATGGTGGAAATCTGAGGAGCCGAGATTAGCATCAGTCTCATTAGCTCTCTTAGAGGGTTCTCATACAGTGAGGTGCCTCTCCATGCTCTGTTTTCCTGTCATGCCATGTGAGTGTTCCTTCACATAAGCTACTGCTACTGTGACATCATCCACCACAAGGTACCCAACGGAGTTGAACCGACTCCTAGTATCAGGCCCTGGAGCCTCCAGGACTAAGGTATAAAGCTCTCTTTTCTTTGTAAGTGGCCCTCCCCTTAGATATTTCATTACAACATCAGAACAAAGACAATGCAGAATACTCAGCCTGTACTTACCTAATACATTTGGCCACTCAACAGCTTCCAGAGAGAACATTAAGGAATAAGCCCATGCCCATGCAATTTCTCACCCATCAACCCTCTATATCCATCACTAAACAATCAATTAACCAGAACCAGAGTGCTTTCAATGTAAGTACAAGTTGATCAATGGAGGCCACAGGGATGACAGCTGTATCCTTCCCTTCCCAGGGTGCATGATTTAGGGGCTCAGAGTTAGTGCACTCATCAACTAAGTCTGAAGAGATCAAAAGATCACCTTCAATATGGGCATGCCATCCCAAGGGCCAGACCATGCGTTCAGCAGTAAGTGTCCGGGCAGTCCAGAAGGGAACATTAAGGATTAGTTTCTTTAGAAGACCCATTATGAAAAGAGAAAGGACACAAATGAGGCTTTGAAGGTTGGGCAGGCAGAGAAATACCATGCGCTTTCCCTACAAAGTGTTAATGATTTCTAAGGTTATGATCTATCCTGTAATATACAACCCTGAATGGAAAGAAATACTATGTGAACTCTTAGGACTGGTGCTGGAATGAGGTTTGGTTGCGCTTGAGTATGCAAGGACAAGAATGGGTGTATTGCAGTATCTTAGTCAGACCGGCTATACAAAGAAAAGAGAATGACTCCCAGGAACAGCTATCTAGCCTACAGACTCATGAACTTCTTCACATGTCTAGTCAGAGAATATATTAATCACCAGACGACTTCCTTGTCACCCACAGAAGTCTGGAAGTCCCCTACATAGGTGAGACCCACCAGTGCTCACCAACAAGGTCTCCAGACAAGCAACATTAGAAAACGGTCCGTGGGTTCCAGTGCTAAGGAAACAGGTTTTAGACTAGAGAAGAGTCTGTCATGGTGGCAATGAACTTTGAGTGCCTTGCACACTTTCGAAATAGGCATTTCTAATCTGATGATGTTAAGTGCTGGGAGTCCCAAGCCTTTCCTAGCATTACAGGGCAAGAGTGTTTGAAGAAAAGATGCCTCTCAGCTCAGTTTAGAACAAAGCTAAGGAGCTAATATATGATGAGGAAGATTACCATACACAGATAGGGATGTCAGATGTTATTTTATTAGGGAGAGAGACATCACTTACGGGAGAAACCAAGAACTGAGGTCAGCGCTCTGCTGGTCTCCTACCTGGACCGGAACCCCAAGAGAGAAAATGACCCCTCCTTCCTTTCCCTGTATCTCTGCCTTCCCCCACCTACCTGTGACCACGCCAAAATGGGTGTGATCAGTGTTGCGGGTACGTGAGATCTTACAATTCCCCTTTTAGTCTAAAGAAAAGATTTAGACTTGTAACAAAACTAAATTGTCTCAAACACATATAAAGCATATATACATAGAAGGTGGTAAACATAGTATCATCTACCTATATCCTATCCTATGTATATCTATCCCATCTAAACCCTAAACTTATCTGAAAGAGATGCCCAAGTCTGAACACCACCTTGCAATCCCAACCCTAAATAATTGAAAACTAACCCTAACAGATGTAAATTATCCTATAATATCAACAGTAGGGAAAGGGGGCATAGTATTCTTAAAGTTACTTCCTGCTGATCTCTCCCTACAAATATGACAATGGCTTTCTAGGTAGAGACCAGCACACAGTGAGACACACAGTTTGCACATGTGTCTACTGGCCTCTCCCTCTTCATAGGAAGCCACTGAAATTCCATCATGAGCCTCCACATTAATGTTCCTACAGCCCTCTAGTCACCTCCCAAGTCTCCTCTAAGCAGTACAATTGGATTAAATTTTCACCCTTGGAAGATTTTCTTTCCCAATTCTATTTATTTATTCACATGGGGCAGGGCATGCATGCCACAATATGCATGAGGAGGTCAGAGTACAACTTAGAGAAGTTAGCTCTCTCATTCCATCATGTGGGTCCAGAGGATCCAACTAAGGCAGTCAGGCTGGGATGCAAGTGCTGTCCTTGATGACCATCTCTTGGTCCCAGCCTCATCTTCTTAATGCCGTACAATGGATTAAACTCTAACATGAACTTCAGAAGGCACAGGTTACGTTTAAACCACAAAGTCCCAGTTGTAACTCATGCAATACATATCCAATACATGCATGTATGTAATACACACATGCAACTCATTATTATGGTTGTCACACAGAGTATGTTCCTGTGCCTATGTGATTTCCCACTGAACTAGTATTTTGCATTCTGAAGTCAAAACAGTGTGGGGAGAGAGAATACTGAACTGAGCCTGACCTCAGCTTTCCACTATATTTGGTTCAGAGTCTGCAAGTTCCACTTGTCATGGTTATGAATGTGCCCACGCCCACTCCACCCCAGAAGGCTGAGCACTGTGACATTTATAAATGTCTACTCATTGGCATACATGAAGATACTAACAGCAAGTGCCTTGGGTTCCTGCTATAGTATTAACAGATATAACTGCATCTTTTTTTTTATAGCAATGAAGTGAGGGTTCGTGGTTTGAGGCACCCAAAAAGGCCTTGACAAGAGTTTGCAGTTAAAACTCACTATTACTTTTTTTTTTTTGGTTTTTACAAGACAGGGTTTCTCTGTATTAAAACTCACTATTACTTTTACAATCAGCAAAAGTGAATTAATGATCACACCTACTTCCCTCTATAATCCCATTGTCAGTGACCCAACTCTGGAAAGATGAGAATCAGCTGGCTTCCAGTACTGAGTTCCAGGGAAGGCTTTACAGTCCAACAGACTGAGGGTCCAGAAATGGCACCCAAGGTCACCACCCAAGGGGAACCCCAGGGGAAGCTTACCACATAGAGCTTGCGCCAGATGACGGCCCATTCTCGTAGAGTATTCGTGAGTTCCTGAACCAGTGGCAACTCCCCAGGAATGACGGTCTCATGCTGCCTACAGGGGACCAAAGAGATGTTACACTTGGCTGCACATGATAGGAGCTGCCTCTCCTGACCAACACACTCTTGACAATCAAAGGCAGCAATGTGGCTGATGTGGTCTGAAATAAACCCATCTGCCTCTGAAAGGGTATATAGTTTGGAGAACTTGAACACAGGTAAACATGAACAAAAAAAAAAAAGGAACTGGGAACAGCACAACCTATAAACAATTAAGTTTTTGCATGGCACAGGCTAAGCCTAGACTCTACTTCCCTGTTTTACTCTCTCTGGAAGTGCCGATGACCAAGCCATGTAATTAGCTGGCTCGATTGGGCAGCTGCTCCATTTAGTAGAGAGGTGCACGCTATGTGATCACACCCAAAGACCTGCTTACAAAGACTGACCCATTCCCTCTTCTAGAAAGGACTGGGTTTTCTTCTCATCTGCTGCTTTCCCAGCATGGAAAATAGAGGCAAACCAATATACTCACTCACAGTAGGCTTAATTACATTTACTCACCTAAATTATTCCTGGTGTTCCTACAATTATCAACAGGAGAAAGACAGCAAGGACATGCAAACACATAGGAACATGCAAACATAGGATGCAGCTAAGTGTGAATGTCAGGTTGGGTAAGGTAATATATTAGGGCAACTATGACTCATGACACATGTTACATGCTAACTTTGGAAAGTTGCAGGTGGTCCCCATCTTAGAAAAGTCTGATTTTACAACTCTAAGATGGCTGGGAAGTGTACACTCACAGGTTCCGACTTTCCACTTTTGGCACAGTGGTGAACATATTACATGAGGCACGTGCTACTCTATCCTACAATAGGCTTTGGATTAGGTAACTCTGCTCAAATGTCAACTAATATAAGTGTTCTGAGTACACTGGAGGTAGCTGGGCTGGGCTACGTTTCATAGGTTAAGTGAAATAAATGCATTTCTTGTTGTCCCTTTTTATTAACATATATTAATTGCATAAAATGATGGACACTCCTGTGATGCCCGCTTGTGGGATTTTTAACTCTTGTGGGTTTGCAAGGATGTAACCACATCTCAAGTCCAGGAGCATCTGTATCTGCTGAGTGAGTAACAGTTAACTGCAAATCCCACCTTTCGCCTGGCAGATCCAATTAAAACAGGGCTCCTACTTTGCCTTCAAGAGGGCTCAGGAATGGCCCACTGGGAAGAGAATTCCTCTAGGAGACAGGGAAGAATAGTTTCTGGTGCTGGTTCTGCTGTGGACAACCTGTGAGATCTTGAGCATGTCTCTACCTCTTGTCTTAAAATGTGGGTGCTGAGCGTAGGACTTCTCCAAAATGTTCATCTAGCTCAGAGGTTTGGGGATTCTGTGACAGCCTCCCTGGTACCAGCCATGGATTCGAGTTTTACTTTCTTAATTCTCCCTCCCTCCGTGTTTTCCGTAGCTGCCACAGAGACAGTTCTTTGAAGGACAAATGACACCGCCAAGAGAAGTGGGTATTCGAAATTGAAATGGATTTTAACTACGCTGCATGTTCCCATACACTGCTTCCCTAGGACCTCACCCCAAGCCTGTCATCAGTGCCCTCCTCCAGGAAGTTGTGAAAACTCTGAGGTGTACTTGCAACTAAGTGATGTGTTCAGAGCTGAGGAGGGCAGACCGATGTCTCTCCTTCCCAGATGTTCACATGAGCTCACGTTCACACGCCCAGTGAGCAGTTAGGAACTCCGAGGGGAAGTGGGAGGCCCTCAGAGTTCATCACTGCTCTCTTTACTATTTTGGGGACCGGTGCCCAGGAGGAACAAGTACAGAAAGAGAGGGCAGAAGGAGGAACTGTACGAGGCAAGTGAAACCAATGAGGGGAGAAGGACACCATTGGGCGTAGGACAGTCTTTCTTTCATGATCATCCTTCACCGCCATCACTTCTAGTGGTCTTTCTGGACTGGAACTTACCCTCCATCTTCCACAGTTGCCTCTTTCAAATGGATGTATGTTTCAGGGAAAATACCCTACAGAAAGAAAACTCTAGTTATGCAGCCATTGAAAACAATCTCAAAGACAAGAGCATAAATATTTCAAGGAGGGTTATGACCACCTTGACAAAAGGAAATTCCCAATTGAGTTTGCAAGGCATCCCTTATGATGACTGTCTACATTTCAACAAAGAAGGATGGAAACGCTGAAATAATAGAAATTAAGATTTGGGCTCAGGTTGCATACGGTGCTTTGAAAATAAAAAGCCAAAATGCCCCCATCAGCTCAGAGATGCAACAATGGTAAGGAACGTAATACTGAGAACCTAGAATGGGTACAGAGTCAATATGCCACGATGCATCCATTAAAGGGCCCCTCATCATGAGTGAGATGGAGCTGCTAACATTTTAGTAGTGTCCTACAATAACTCCTACCAGCACTTTCATTGAAGACCAACTGTAATCATTAGTTACCTGATCATTTTCATCACTTCATAGTCTTCAACTGTTCTCCTTTTGTAACCCCGTAAGGCATTTCTATTTCAGTATTATGACATTGCTCACAAGCTAAAATTTCAAAAAGTCCCAAGGGAAGGGCACAAAACCACTGGGTGGGAACTAGAGAGCTGCAGAAAAGATTTCTCAGTAGGAAAGAACCATGCACGGGGAGTTCTCTTGAATGCCAAAGCTTGTGTCTCATTGTGCAATAGTCTCTAGATGCCCCAGGGAGAAGGAACCACTGAGCCTTGCTTGAGGATAGTTTACAATGCAGACTAGATGAACTAGCTGGCATCTTGGCTCAGTGGGAGGGCTGGCATGATGGCAGTGGATATTAAGTGTCAGGATTGTTGGCCACACAGGTGGTAGTGGAGATAGCCCCCAGTCCATAGGACCATAGTTCAAAACATATATGCACCCCACAATCCTTAACAGGACAAGAAACCAGGGAACTCTAACAGCAGTTGTTTTTGTGGCCAGTTGCATTTACTGTATTTGTCTCTACCATGCTCTCTCTTTTTTCATCCTTCGACAATAAAACAGGAAATGGCCAGAACATTAGAGACTAAGTTGATCTCAGCATGGGTGATGACAGAGGGGTCTTGCAACTGATTTAGGCAGAAGCCAAGGGCTCTATCTCTTCAACCAGACAGGGTGACCACTAGTGAGAAGGCATGTTTCCAGTCCCTCTACTGATGAGACCACCAGCACACACTACACACACACACACACACACACACACACACACGCACACACACACACACACACACACACACACAAAGATGAGGTGACCTTGAGTTTCTTCAAGTGCAAAGGATACAGAGTGATGGGGGGGGCGTTTAAGCATCAATAGAAAGAAAACACAAATTCAATGTAACATTGAAGACACCAGGTCACACTGTTGATATCTAAAAGAGCAAGAGCTATGATAAGGAACCACCTTCACATACCAGGCACTATCATAAGGGTTTTCATGTATTTGTTTTAATTGTTCTTTTACCTCAGGATCAATCCATGATCAAATATTTGATCATTTCAGAACTTGCCCAATAAGAGAACTTTCATGTATAATACTTCTGTTTTTATTCTCAGCTTTATTTAATTAGCAATATTTAAATGTCAAATTATTTGGAAACATATTTCTTTATCTACCAAAAAAAAAACTTCATTGACACGTAATGCTTGCCTCTATTCATGAGGTACAGTGGTCCTCACTGCATATACAATGTACAATAATGAGAAAAGGCATAACTACCTCCTTAAAAAGAAACTGGGTTTGGAGAGGTAAGTCAAGTACTTGTCATGGTCATGCAAGCATGAGAACCTTTACTGTATCCCCAAAGCTCACACAAAGCTGGGCTTGATGGTCAAGCTTGTCATCTCAGAGCTAGGGAGGCGGGGATAGGCAGAACCCTGGGGCTTGCTGGACAGCCAGCCTAGCTGAAACAGTGTGTTCCAGGCCAGTGAGAGAACTTGACTCAAAAAATATCATGATGGATGACACCTAAGGAACCGTATACTGGAGTTGACTGCTGGCTTCTACATACATACACACACACACACACACACACACACACACACACACACACACACGCGCGCGTGCATGCGCGCAGGCACGCAAACACACAGGTACTCATGCACACGCACTAAAAGAAGAAAGAACTCTTGAAAAGAGAAAAGGGGATGGATAGGTGTAATCAGTTCAAGGCAGTAGTTATGGACCAACAAAATGGCACAGTGGGTAAAGGCGCTTGCTGCCAGGCCTGCCAACCCTAGTTTGAATCCCAGGGCCCACATGGTGGAAGGAGAAAATTGACTCCTGTAGGTTGCCCTCTGACCTCCACATTCCTGCTACTGCAAATGAGCATGCATGTGCACACATGCACAAACACAAAAATAGATGAAATTACTAAAAGCTTTTAAGTATATATTAAAGTAGTAGCTACAAGTTTAAAATAAACTATAACATTGCAGAAGACGCTAGGCATGCAGCTTGAAAGTAGGACACTTGATTAAGATGTGGATGGTTTAATACTGAGAACTAAAGAAACAAAGGCAAAAACCCCAAAAGTAACACTGTTAATCCAAAGAAAAATTATGGAAAAATATTTTTCAAATAACAAAGGTAAAAAAAACTCTGAATGTATAGACTGTTGACTAGTCTGTGCTAATCCCTGGGAGCCAGCCGTGATACAGGGCCTCAGAAATAGGAACAAATGACGACTTTAAGACCATGGCAGATAATTTACACGGGTGTGCAGGCATTAAGGTGTGGATAGCCAGGGCCCCTTCGTTCTGCCATCTCACTCACTGCTGTCTTGTCTGCAGCATCATCAGGTTGTGGTGGCACTTGGCTATTTACAGTCTTTTGGTTTCTCTGGAAAAGCCAGAGCCAACCTGAGTCTTGCATTTCTTTTTCTCAATGTAACCTACTCAGTTGAATAACATCCAACTGTTGAATAAAATCCAACGTTATCCTGTCCATACATACACCCACAATCCTGCCAAGATTAATGATCAATTTCTTCGAGGCTCTAGTCTTTCTCAATTTGTAAAGCCACTAACTTCCTTTTATCACCACTCCAAATGGCTAGGTTGGCTTATAAATGACACCAACAATTTCCATGAAAACAATTGTCCTTTCAAATAGCTCTTCCCCTAAGACAGGAAAAGGAGGGGCCACATAGGGGAAGATGTCTATCAGGCTGCATCTCTTAATGAAGGGGTGTCACACTCAACAAAATTCAAGACTGATGTCTTTAATTCCATCTTTGTTTCTTGGATCTCCACAAAGAAAGATAATTTAGTTAAAACTAAAAAACATCAATGCACAGTCACTGTGCCAAATTCTGTTCATGTTTTTCTTTATCAAGGGACAGAGGAGCTCTTATTAAAATAACTTTCTCCAAACGGTAAAGTTTTTAAGCTTACAGAATTTAAAGGCCACTTTAATGAAGAATAAGAACAACAACAACAAAAAAAACCCAACAATATTACAAACACATACATAGCTCAGACGTTAACTGGACCATCTAGCATTTCTGTCAGAGGGCACCACTAGCTAGATGGATGCAGGCATATCAGGAAGCACAGAATATCTTAGAACCAAGGTCTTCTGTGCTGGAATAACTCCTAATGTAGGGTAAGGGTCTAGGACCTTGTTTTAACAATAGCTACTGTTGTTACTGTTGTCATTGTTATTGCAGTGGTGGTGGAAAGATTAAACCCAGGGCCTCCTGTATGCTAGGCAAGTGTCTGCCATTTAAATAATTTGAAAAACAGGGCATCAATAACTTACTCAGGCTTGCCTCAGTCTCCTATGTAGCCGGGACAAGGGGAGTGCGCCACCAGGCCCAGCTGTTCTTAACATTTCCTATGATTTGTCTGAGACGTTTTTCTCACTTTTTTACATAATAAATTAAAAAAGGAAATACTGAGAATTAAGTGGCCTGGGTATTCTTTGTCTCTCACAAATTCACAGCAGAAAATATTTAACTTGCAGGGGGTCAGGGGTGGGCCACAGAGCTCTGGTGGAGGTCAGAGGACAACTTTCAAGAGTTGGTTGTCTCCTACTGTTAGACCCCAGGATTGAACTCAGGGTCTGTACGGCAAGTGCCTTCACCTGCTGAGCCATCCTGCCACCCAGAAGTGTTGACTCTTACTGTTTCCTGAAAACTTCCCTTCTACAACTGTGAGTAAAAATAACTATTGACGGGGCTTAAACCCACACGCGGCAGGAGTGGGCACGCCAGGTACCAGCTGAGGCTTCAATCTGGTCCTACCATACCCTCATCACACCAGCACATCTGGCGGTCTGGACTGGAACTGTGGGGACGGTGAAGTCAGCAAGAGGAAAAGTGAATACAACTCAGCTGGAAAAGGCACAGGACCCTGGCTATGAGCAGAAAAGCTCAGCCACTAGGGCATGGCAGGGACAGGCGGCTTCACACCAGGGAGACTTGGCCCCTGTGGAGACAGCAAGGGTTCCTTTGTTTTGCTAGGTTATGAAATCGCCAACGCGAATAAAGTGTGTGCGCACACAAGTGTGCAAACACTAAGACCGAAGAGTCATCAACTTCAGCCACACTCGCCTGTGGGTTCCTGTGACCGCCACCTAGCAGGCAGGCATTTGAAGGCTCTGTGTTCTTCTGAGATTTGGGGGTTTCACAGGCCAACCTGTGTGGGACTACATCTGGCCCCGTGATGTGTTGAAAGAGTAAGAACTGTGAATTTTTCTACCCTGATAAACTCGTTTGTCTCACATGAGCTAACTGTGAAATAATAGCGCCCTATCAACTTTGTTCTTGCGAAAGAAAAGTGCTGGCACATTACACTGCCCGGGGAAAGAAACATCAAAGCAAAAGTGCTGATGGCCTCTAAAGCAAATCCAGGAGCGCATTAACACAGCCACTAGCCTTTTCCTTAGTTGATGATGAGCTGCCCTGACAACTGGGAAAGAAGACCCAACAGGACAGCGTTTCCAGAACTAAACAAAAAGCATGAACCACACAAACATTAATACCCGAGGTAGATGCGTCTTAAGTGTCTCTGTTGTTCAGCTTTGTTTTCTGTTACCCGAGTTGGTTATACTCCACTAAAATGACTCCATGTCACCCATGGGTCTCACAGATGGAAATCACTACTCTGGTTTGATGGGAAGAACCAGGTGACAAGCAGCGTCAGTTCTGGCAGTGTAGAATTGGACATAAAGGACACAGGGAGAAGTGGTTCCTTCCCACTCCTCCTCGACAGAGGTCCCTACGGCACTGTCACTGCCCACTGCCTTATTCGGCTTCAAGGGTAGACAGCAGGAAGTTTGAGGCCTTCTCTTGAATCAACTCCCAGGAAACATATCCATGGAACTTACGCTATTCTTCTTGAGCACTGGGGTCAGAGTCTTTGTTTTCAGATCAAAGGAAGAATCATCGAGAAGAAAGCAAACTAGCTCTAGAGGTAACTTACAAAGGGATCCCACAACACAACAGAGAGCTAGCGGACAGTCAAAGGAACTAGGAAACGGAACAATGTGCCATACCTTTTTAGATTTGTTCTGGAGAGCATATCCTCTGTACCAGCCTGGGGAGGGAAAAGGGAGAACACAAAGACATGTTATGTTTCCTGGAAGAATAAAAAGACATCAGCAACACAGTCACATGTTCTAGCAGCAATCCTGAGATGGAAACCCAAAGATCAGTGGCTATGAAGCCATAGACCGGCAGTTCTCAATCTGTGGGTTGTGACCCTTGGGGGGTCAAATGACCCTTCACAAGGGTCACCTAGGATCACTGAAAAACACAGACACTTACATTGCGATTCATAACAGTAGCAAAATTACAGTTATGAAGTAGCAACGGGAATAATCTTATGGTTGGGGTTACCACAATATGAATGTTAGGAAGGTTGAGAAGCACTGCGTTAGGCTGTGAACCATTCCACTTCTTACACAGTAAAGACCTATCTTATATCCACATTCTCTAACTAACCAACCAAGTAGGGCCCATAGAGACTCAGAGAGACTGAAGAGGCAATCATGGAGTCTGCATGGGCATGCACTAGGTCCTCTCATACATGCTGTGGTTCTTTAGCTTGGGGTTCTTAAGGGACGCCAAATGGGGGTATCTCTGACTCTTTTGCCTGCTCTTGACACCCTTTCCTTCCTATGAGAGTGTGTGCCTAGTCTTACTACATCTTGTTAAGCAATGTTTGGTTGATATCCCTAGAAGGCCTGCTCTTTTCTGAAGGGAAATGAAGGAACAGTGGATCTGGGGGAGGGGGGGACAGGTGAGGGGTATGAAGGAAAGAGAGGTTGAGGTCAGGATGTACTGTATGAAAGAATTAAAAAAAAAAAGATATCAACCAGAAAATAGTCTCATAATCTGTGTTAGAAGTAGAAAACTGAGTTTACCACTTTGGTTACAGATTGGACAACACTTTCACAAATTGTAAATTGTCAGTGAAACTAAAAACTATAAGGAATTTGCTATGTGCTGCAGAGGGGGTGGGGGTAGGGCTTTGGTGTGGAATTATAGTCTACATCAAGGCTACATAGCTGAGAAAATGATCTCTCAACAGAAACACCAGCCTCCATTTAGGAAGCCAACGTGCAGGCAACCAGGTTAGGTTGGAATGCACTGAACATTCCTCCTGCGACTCTTAGTTCTGCTAAGACATGAAAAGGTTTTTCATGAATGGCTGGCTTTGGCGTCACCCCGAATCGAGGGCAGAGATGGAGACCATATTGAGAAAGAACAGTTGAGGCAGTGTTGACTTTTCAAGTCATATAAAACTAAGATATCACAATACAGACTTGGACCCGCTTACCAGGAAGAATGTATCTGCACGCCTGTAAACAGTGCTTTACCCAGAATTCATCACAAACTTATGTTTCCTAAACCGTCTCCTTGGGGGGGGGAGATTTTCATATAACCCTTCTACTTATTTCTAGAGTCATGGTGTGTGTGTAACTGCTAGGGAAAAAGTACAACATTATTATTCTGGACTTGTCAAAGTGAACACTCATTTTCCTTGGCAACAAGAACTGTAAGCATCTAATAGACAGCTGGGAGCTCGATCGCATTCCTACTGTCAGAGCTCTAAGAATGCTTAGAGTTCTAATGATTGCTAATAATTCCCAAGGCTATGCTCACAGGTGTTTGCTATTCCTATATCGTAAGACTGCATTTGTAATACAAACTAGAGCACAGTTTTCCCATTAATCCTCAATACTCAGTGTTAAATCATCATAATTAGAGTTTACTGTTAGGATTCGGGACACACCATGAAGCAAAGAGGCAGCGGGTGGCATACCAGGAGTGGTCTACAGTCAAGCAGCGATCAGGGAGTATGAATTGGCAGGTATGTTCCGAAACTATCACACAATTACGAGGGGAAAGTTGGGGGTCAGGCGGGCCAGAGGGTGAGTCTCAGCTACATTTTAGTGAAACGAGTCCCCCGAAATAAATTCCAGATACTGTGGCAAGACTGATGCACTTCTGGGGTAAGAAGTCATTTTCAGTTGCTTGGGGACTGTCCCCAGTTCAGGATAAAGATATCTCTTCTCATTTGAAACTACCAAAGTTCCTAAGGCCACAGGCAAATTTAATCTCTTTATCTAGCTCTACATAAACATCACCAGTCAAGTCTGTACCATCTGAGCCAGGTGTTGGTGGCGCACACCTTTAATCCCAGCACTCAGGAGGCAGAGGCAGGCGGATCTCTGTGAGCTCCAGGCCGGCTACACAGAGAAACCCTAAGGAGGCAGAAGAGAGTGAAGGAAGGAAGGAAGGAGAGAGGGAGAGGGAGGGAGAGGGGGAGAGAGAGAGAGGGAGAGGGAGGGAGAGGGGGAGAGAGAGAGAGGGAGAGGGAGGGAGAGGGGGAGAGAGAGAGAGGGAGAGGGAGGGAGAGGGGGAGAGAGAGAGGGAGAGGGAGGGAGGGAGGGAGGGAGAGAGAGAGAGAGAGAGAGAGAGAGAGAGAGAGAGAGAGAGAGAGAGAGAGAGAGAGAGAGAGAGATTCTGCCATCTGCCCATTTCTTCCACCTGGCCAGGGGCTGGCCCCTTGAGCTACTGCATTTTCTGGCTTCCACCTAGCAGGTGTCTGTCCCTACCTAGTTCTGTAGCTCAGCACAACTAAGCGGTGAAGACCAAGTGTTGGTTATCACGTAGATCACATAAATGAGCTGAGGGCACAGAACTAGCATGAGGAACTCAGAGGCCAACGTGCAGTGTCTGGGGATACAGGAAGTGAGATTAGATAAGATAATCAAAGACAGGTCACTCTGAGAAACTAAAAAGAACCAGGCAGGAAAATGACGAGGAAAGAAACTTCCATACAGGAGCAAATCCAGTGAGAAGCGCCATGAGGCAAGAATTCTGTCCAAAGACAGGAAGAGCACAAGGTGAGAGGGACAGATGGGGAAGAGGCGCCATGGTGGTGAGAGGGAATGTGGGTCTCCATTCTGGGCACCCACTACACCCGCCAGGGAAGCTTATAAAATACTGAAGACTGGGCCACCTCCCCAGATATTCTTACTTAATCAATCCCAGACATAGAGCTTCTCAAAGAATCCTGGGGACACTAATGTATAGGCAGAAGTGTCAGTCCAGGCAAAAATGCCATGTACCATGAGGAATCTGAGCGTTAGCCTAATGGTAAGCATTGGAGGAGAAGACGGTGTTTAAATGCATCATGTCTTGTGCTTAAAATAAAAAAACTAAAACATTCTGGCTGCTAGAGAAGAATGGACAGGGGAGGTGAGACGTAGTAGAAACGGGGAGGGGAAGGGTGGGTGCATGGAGAATGGGAAGCAATGGGAAGACGGAAACCATGTTTGGAAGCAGCTGGAGTTGCTCATGACTTCACTAGCATGGTCAAGAATAGAAGAAGAAAGAGCGTTTGGCTCTTGGGCTTGCGCAAATGGTACATAGGGTTACTCTGTGGTATAGGAAGATTTTAAAAGGGAAAGCCTTGGAGAATGGTAGAAGGAATAGGCAATGTACAGTGACCCTTGGGCTTCCCTCCCTGAACAACTGAGTCCTATAGGAATGACATGGAACATGGCACATGAACGCTGGGGGAGAGGGGATCAGAAGGGTCAGGCTAGCGTGCAGCTCAGGGCCCAACAAGAATCAGATTGATGATGATCATTTAATAGTTGACCATGTTAATGGGAGGGAAACACTCTGTCAGATACCAAGAGCACCAAACAAAGGTCAGCCCGGAGAGTCAAGATAAAAGGGATTACCTCTGGGAAAGAAATATGACCAGGACACAGCCTCTTCCCCCTGGAACCATACAGGCATAACAGTCCAAAGGACGTGATCGAGATGAACAGACAGTGAAAATCAGGTGTACATAGAGCTGGCGAGGTCTGTGGGAGGGCTAAGCTGTAATCTTCCATGGTAAAGAAAATGGAAAAGTCAGTTCTTAATTGGCTAAAAGTCTGGCAAGAGTTCAGGAGGAACTGAAGCACCCCAGAAATGAGGACTTAGAAGGAACTCTTGTTTTCCATTATGGACTAGTAAAACTAACCAGGGACGGCAAGACATTTAGGTAAAGGTGCCTGCCAACAAGTCTCATGACCTCACTTCAGTCTCTAGAACCCACATGGTGGGAGGAGAAAACAGACTCCTGCATCGTGGCCTCTTACCCCGACATGCACAGCCACACTCAAACCTCCACATGCACAGCCACACTCAAACCTCCACATGCACACCCACACTCATACGCAGGCAGGCAGGCGCTCACGTGTGCGCACACACACACACACACACACACACACACACACACACACAAAGTAAATAAATACATGCAATTTAAAACATTTTAAACTTAAAAATTTTTAAACTTTTACAGTTAATGTATATTTATGAGTGGTATAATTTTCAATTGAGAAAAATACTGAGGGATCCTGGCAAGACAGAAAAAAGGGCAAAATTAAAACAATAGATAACAAGTCTATTGTTATAGTGTGGAGCTGATTAAAAAAAAAGAAGTTTGGAGGGATCATAAAGCGGTGCGGTGATGTGAATGAGAACAGTCCCCATAGCTCATGTGTTTGGCTCCCAGTTGGTGAATGGTTTGGGGAGGACTATTACTCCTAATTACTAATCCTAACCCAGTGGTTCTCAACCTGTGGGTCGAGCACCTTTGGCAAACCTGTCTCAAAAACTGTATATATATTATGGCTCCTAAAAAGTAGCAAAATTATAGTTATAAAATAGCTATGAAAATAATCTTATGGTGGGGGAGGAACTAAATTAAAGGGTCACATCATTAAGAAGTTTGAGAATCATGGGATTATGGGGTGTGGTCTTGTTGGAGAAAGTATGGCTTTCAGGTTTCAAAAGCCCACACCAGGCCCAGTCTCTCTCTCTCTCTCTCTGTCTCTGTCTCTGTCTCTGTCTCTGTCTCTCTCTCTCTCTCTCTCTCTCTCACACACACACACACACCCTCTCCAACTCATAGATAAGATGTAAGCTCTCAGCTACTGCTCCAGTGCCATGCCTGCCTGCTGCCATGTTCTCTGCCACTGAAACAGTTCTCACGATCTGAAACTGTAAGCAAGTCCCCAATTCGAT